CACTGAGCCTCGAAGACTCATTTACAAGTGAGACCTGTGTAGACGGGGAAAAAAGTAATGAAAGTGACACATGTATAGGATTTGGAGGCTAAAAAAAAAATCCTATATAACTTTTTTTCCTTGACTGAGAAGAAAGAGCCCGATATTGAAAAAAACACCCTGCACATAGATACATAATGTATGAATGTGGGTTTAGGTATAGGTATGACTGTGATAAAGCACTGATTATTTTTTTGTATGGAAATAGTAGAGTGCTGTGTGGATGGGTAAATGAGGACACGGATTGTGTTTTAAAGCGCTTTGAGTATCTTGATCAGATAGAAAAGTGCAGTCCATTAACCATTTTACTGGTGCCCATATTCAGCAGTCACTGTGCGAGAGGCAGGGGACACCCTGGACAGTTCTCCAGTCCATCACAGGGGGACACAAAGACAAACAAGACACAACCATTCACTCTCTCACTCGCACCTAGGAACTATTTGGAGTTGCCATTCAGCCCAACATGCATGTTTTTAGTCTGTGCGAGGAAACCAGAGTACCCGGAGAAAACCCATGCATGCACGGAGAGAACATGCGTACTCCACCCAGAAAGGTCACTGGCTGGGATTTGATCTGGTGACCTTTTCGCTGAGAGGCAACAACTCTACCAGCTGCACCACCGCACCACCTAAATGGAATATGAATCTTGAAAGTATAGTGTGAATAATGACCTTTTATTGTCCCGCTTCACCCAATACACCATGTATCACATTAACGGCACGCTCGTGCTAACTTTAAAGCAGTGAGTAGCACATAGTCAATGATTGAACTGAGCCACTGTGAATGTTGTGACTTTAAACATATAAAAGCTTCATGCTTAATGTTTTTTTTTTTTTTTACCTCTTCTTTGTTTCTTGGTTTCACCACCAACACCTATCAATTCAGTACCAGCTGTTGCCAAACATGTGCAAACCTAGATCAAGTAAAACATTAGCTTGAACTTTTTTCACTGTGTTTGAGATTCTCTCCAGCTTAAATTATTTTGAGCCTTTTAAGTCGAAAACTGTCTTTTTTTTATTGAGTCATTTATTTTCCATGAAGCTTTTTTTTCCTTTCAAAAAATCATTTTTTACTTAAAATAATAAAATTAATGCTTTATGTGATTGCATATTTTACAACTTGATTTGTAGACTTTAAAGTAACAAGTCTCAAAACAAGCAGCTTGTTGGTTGTAGCCATGAAAACTCTGAGTTTGTCCATGAAATGTCCAAAGGGGGTATTCTTGCTCTTGGCTCTCTTATTCCTTTCTCAAGGTCTTTGGCCCGGCTGCAGTTCATCTCTTTTTTTTCAATCTTCAATTTCCTCCTGGTGCATCTGAATGGCTGCTGGTGTTTTTCATTTCTCTCATTCATCTACATCTGTCACCGTTTTCAATCTTGTAATGATTATTTGATGGTACAGGCAGCAAGGCAAGGCAGCAAATGTTATGTCAATTTCTCGTTACTTACCAATGGTGCATAATATTTCCATCACAGAATACTAACAATGATCATAAACCGTAAAATATTGTCATTGAAGTTTTTAAAATAACATGGGAAAAATTTTTTATTTTAGATGATAAACCATTTATTTAGCAAACGATAGGAGTATTGGACTTTTTTCCCATGCTGTTCAGTCTGTTGTGGCATTGTTTCCATGTGAATAAAAGCGCAGCTTTAGCACCTGACATGACTTTCTGTGAGGATGAAGCTCGTTGCTGTCAGATGACGAGATCAAGTTCATACCTATGACCTGTATTGTAGCTACAAGAAACAAGCTGTTGGTGGTACTCAGTTTGTAATTTACAGGTTACTAATCAACAGATCATTTGCGCTGTGCCTCATTGACTCCTCTGATCATTACTGAAATGAACTAGCTGTACCTTTTAATGTTTTAAAAATACACCTACTGGAAACTGCCACAGTCTTTTTTTTAATCTTTGTCAGTTGGTGGAGCTGTTGTCTCTCGGTGAGAAGTTAGGCTGATTGGTAACTTTAATTGTCCCTAGGTGTGGGCGAGAGAGTGACTAGTTGTCTCGTTTGTCTCCGTGTCCCTGTGATGGACTGGAGGCCTGTCCAGGGTGTACCCCGCCTCTCGCACAGTAATAGCTGGACATGGGCACCAGTGACCCCCACGACCCGAAAAGGAAGAAGCGGGTAAAGATAATAGATGGATGGATGCCAATTTGCACGGTTTAGTAAATCTGCCTCTTTATGCACTGTTTTAGACTCATTGTTATTACGATATGTACAATTCAGTAGTGAGGGAGATGAGGGATGCACAGTATTGGATTTTTGGCAAATGTCCGATATGCCGATATGTTAAAACTTATTTGGCCGATACCAATATTTTTTCCCTACACCTTCTTACAGAGACTACATAGCTTTCTCTGCTGTGGAATTAAAATACTACATTATTCTGCATGGTCTTTGTCAATTTGGCCTGCTGCCAAATGCAGATGCCAAAAAAGTGTCTGAAAACGATGCAACTTCAACTTGGATTATGTTCAATGTCGAATTTATTCATGACATTTACTCTCTCTAAAGTCTAAAACAATGACAACACTCAGAACAGTGCAAATTTTAAATTTTCACAAATCTAAACTCAACGGTGTGCGTGATGTAAAAAATAAAAAAATAAATATATATATATGAGAGAGAGAGTGCCTTTTTATATCTGTGATTTATTTTAATGGAATGGTTGATGTTCGATATTTAACTTTATCGCTAATATTGGTCGATACCATGCCAATAATATTGTGCATCCCTATGGGAGATTATTTCATATAGGTGGGTTAGAGGTGAATATGAGAACATAGTTGGAGAACGTGTATTAGCGCCATTACAATGTTCAGCAAAGTGGTAATTTTCTGAGTTCCAAAGTCTAAATCAGCAATCTATGGGATGAAGCTGGTGCATGTCTTCACCACAGCTGTCTGCTTGATTGAGACTTGGACTGGGCAGCTTGTGTCAGTCTCCTGCTTTCCTGGTTTACAATAAGGTCAGAAATTAAGTGGAACCTAGAACAACTTTTGGACACTCTGAAGAACACGGGCAGGAACTATAAATAACTTTATTCACTTTCCATCTTCCCTTCCTGCAGTATGATGAGTAACCTTACCTTGTTAGTCAACTTGTCTGTTTTTTGTTTTATTTGGTAGCATAATTCAGACCTCTTTTTTGGCCTTGGCATGTCTGATTCGACATCCATTTATCTGAAATTAAAAATACCTCTAACTACATTTTAAATTGCATATGCCAAACTTATTGGTTTAATGTAACTCTTAGGTGAATGTAGAATCTTCCTCCTCTTCAAATTTGCCCAATATAACAGTCACCAACTTAGAGGAGGGCTATGCCAGATGTTTTTTTTTTTTTAATAACAGTGGCTCCTTACTTGTAGAAAGTGACTTTTTTTTTTGGCACCAACCGGATTTCTAAACTTTCACGCTATTTCATGCTAACATGCTATCATTTTGTTTTAAAATCTGGGAGAGGCACTTGTGTGCTTTTGTGCAACTTGAGTTTTCCCAAAGGTAATGCATGACTGCAGAGACCATATGTTGGATGACAGGTGACGAAGCCTCCACCCCTGACTATGTGATTCTTCATGAGCATCAGTAAGAAGGCACAATTACCTCATTAAGTCACTGCATCAGTGGTTAAGTTAAAGCTTCTTCAAAAATAAAGATTGAGAATTTTCATGTCGTTTCTGTTATTTTCTGTCTGAATCCCGTTTTTTGTTTTTTTGTAGAAGTTGAAAATGTGATTTATAAGACATAAAACACAAGAGATGTCTCATGACCTGACTTGCATAAACAGCATTTGTCAGCCAAGTAATTGAAATACCAGCTCCAGGTCACACAGAGTGCAGCTAGATGAATCATTATATTTAAGTATAGCAATGTGAGAATGCAGATGCATTGCACCGAATCTAAAATGCATGCAAGATCAAGTCTTGTACATATTTATCATTCTCAAGTTTGTTTTTTTTTGTGCTCAATTTTACATTGTTTCTTCCAGCTCTTCTATATATTTAGTATCCATCATCACAATGCAACGATGAAGCTTTAAAACGCCAAAAAAAAAAAAAGAGGTTGGTTTTGGTAATAAGTCTAAATGGGAACCAAATCTTCTTTATGTAAATTCGAGCCAGCAGGGTGTTCGTCACATTAGCCGTCTTTAATTTCCAGCCTGCAAATTAAAATGACATCAGACCGCTTCGATTAAAGTAGCTAGCTGTGTTTTTAGAGTTTAAGTTACTGTCTTTTAGCTGCACATATTTCAAGGAAACCAGCAATTTATTGTGTGTGTGTGCGTTTGTTTGTTTGTTTACTTATCTAGTTGTTTTCTTGTGAAACTTCTTCGCCACTCCTACCCCTCAGCACCCCCTACCAACGACCCTCTTGAACTCTCTGAAGCTCTGCTTCTCTTTCTCCCTCTTTGTGGCCAAGTACAAAGGAGTCGTTATCCTTGGGCTGGTGGTTGCCATGGAGATAGCTCATTGCAACCCCTCCCTCCATCCCACATTCCCAAATTCAGGTCCAAGTAGGTTGGGAAACTGCTCACTTCCTTTGGTTCATCACCGTGTGGTGCCAAGTTAGCTCCATGAATGACTCCTTCATGTCTGATCATCCTCTCAGAGTTTGGGTTGTTGGATTTGATATGGGTGTGCATGAGAAAACCACAGCATTCTCCTTAAGGTGATTTCTTAAACATTTGCAGTGTGATTTTAAAAAATAATAATCATTTTACTGTTGCTGTGTTGCCTTGGTTCATTCTGGTTGAATTTTTAACTGGTCCAGTTTTTCTTCAACCACACACAGCCTGTACGAGAACTTGCATAAGCTTCTACCAGTATTTGTTAGGCTTGTGAGTTTCAAAAAATGTTTGTTTATGTTTTCACAACATATAACATCTGAATAGTAATTGATTTAAAAGTCATTAAGGGTAATTGTTTTCGATGCTTTTCTGTTTCTATAGGGATTCTGGGAGGAATGACCCAATCATGATGTCACAGCCGTGCCCCACTTCATGCCGAGGTCACCAAGGAGGGAGTGCCTGGCTATTGGCCAATTGTAGGAGGAGTGCCAACAGAGTAATTATTAAAAGTCTTGTGTGGTACTGACAGTCCGCTCCTGCTGGTAAGATCGATTTGTCAGCGTCTGGTCTTTGTCAGTTTGTTCAGTTTATATTGAAACATTTTGTCATTCTTAAATTAAAAAAAATGAAACGTATATCACTATGTTAATGATGTAATAATTATCTATCCAGGTGCTTTCTTAATCTTTTTGCTTTTAACTGAAGAAAATATTTTTATTTCTGTAACATGGGCTTTGTGGTTTGGTTGAAAGTGGAATATCCTGTTTTATTATCACAGTGTATCAAACAAAATGCTACAATTACTATGAATCGTAAAATAAATGTTTGATTTAGTTTGATTTGTTTGTTTCTACTTGTCTTGCTGGAAAAAAAAAAAAGCCCATTTTATTTTTTCCTAGGTTGTCCCTCTTCATGATGATTAAAAGAATCCACTAGAACGCCATTTAGACACAACTTCCAGATGTTGTGCCAGAGGCAGGGTTTCCATGCAGGAGGATTTGAACAACGAGTGACACAAAGGTGAGTTGTTGACCTTATCATTTTATAACCTCATTAACAACTACACTGAGAGTAATGTGCATATATATATATATTTGTTTGTTTGTTTGTTTATCAGCTGGTTCTTTAAATATATACTGTATATATTTGGCATCCTTTTTCTAGCAACATTTTCTCCATACTGAGAAGCTTTACAGCCTACACGATGTTCACACTGTGCAATTGTACCTACGAGAAAGAAAGCAGCTAAAATGTATTTTTCTACTCAGAATTTCAACTTGTAATGGGAATTACAGTAATGGTCGTGAGTCACTTCTCATTTCTTTACGTATTGCTCCAAATCAACCAGCCTTTCTTTAACCTTTTAAACTCGTCTCAGACAATAGTTCTTCAAGATTTCTAATGATTTTAAAAACATTTTCTTTGAACTTTTTTATAAACTTAAAAGGTTTTAGTCCAATACCAAAACCATCATCAGATAATTACCACATTTTTCGCCGTATAAGTCGTGATTTTTTTTGCATAATTTGCATGCCCTTCGACTTATACGCCGAAGTGTCGTATTTATGGATCTTCCCCCATATTTATAAACCAATTTTTGGCTGAGCTATGACCGTTTTCATTCATTCTGACTGAAAATATTGAACACTATTTCAGCCGATTGATGGCAGTCGAGCAGTGTGGCATGCCGCTGTATCATCTAATAGGTAAAAGTGGCCATTAATGATGCAATCGGATTGCCATAGCCCGCCACCTTCATCTGCCTGGAGCAACCATCAAATCAGCTTAATTTCGCTTCGCCGCCCCGGCGAAATGCAGGTGATTTGACCATTGAAGCGCATTTATTAAGTAAAAGTTAGACTGAGACACACCTTTGCTATAAAGTCGAGCTAATAAATAATTGTTTTTAGGTGGTTATCTTGTTAAATTTTGAAGAACTGGACAGCGAGTCGCCCTCTGCGCGTTCATGTTTCCGCGTATCAACTTTTGAAAATGCAGCTGATTTGACCGTCAAGTGCATTTATTAAGGAAAAGATAGACTGAGACACACCTTTACTATAATTTAGAGCAAATTAATAATTGTTTTTAAGTGTTAATCTTGTTAAATTCTTGTTAAAGTCCTCCCGTGCACGCTCTCGTGGCTGCTATTTGGCAGCCAGCCGATTTGTAGCACAACACCGGCCCACATTTCTGTATTGTCAGCGGTGACGTATAATAGATGCAATGTATACGGCGAAGCGACATTTATCAATTTTTCCACTTTATTAGATATATTCGGACTGATGCGACTTATGGGGTGGTGCAATGTTTACGGCAGACAATACGGTATTCTTTTCAAAATTTTGCTTGGCATTTAACTTTGGTCTATGAGTCAGTCAAGCATTAAAGGTCCTAAACTCAAGCGATGAACCAGTATTATGTTGATATGTAACATAAGAACCATCTTTAAATTGGATCTTTGGGGTTTGTTTATCTTTAAGCTTATTATAAGATACAATTTGTTCCCATTTTATTCACGTCAATGAATGAAAAGTATGAAAAAGCATGAAAAAGATGACAGTTTGACACCGAAAGCCCAACTGCTCTGCCACTGCACCACATAGTGTTGACTGTGGTGCCGTGGTGGGGCAGTCGTCTTAAGATTAGAATGTTACAGGTTTGATGACCAGCCAGAATGACGCCTATTTCCTAACTGCTCACCGAGTGCTTCAATAGCTGCTACTGCACTTTGCAATTTGTCCTCTGCATTTAACCCACCACACATGTAAGACACACGTCTTACATGTGTGGTGGGTTGAATGCAGAGGACAAATTTTGTCTTCCTATGGGCATAAACGGTGATGACAACACACAGTATGTTTACTTTCATAAAATACTACAGCATCATTGAAATTATTGATAGATTGGAATGGTAAATGGACAGTACTTGTATAGTGCCTTTCTTTCTAATCAAGATACTCAAAGCGCTAAACAACGCAATCGGTGTCCTCATTTACCTCCACACACATCCATACATTACTCTACTAGATCTCTACTAATCGAACAAATCATTCTATAGACTAATCAATGCTTTAGATAACATTAATACACCAATGGGACACACATCGAAGGCAGTGAGGTTCAGTGTCTTGCCCAGGGACAATCAACATGTGACTGCTGCAGGGACTTTTGTATCTAAAATCTAACTTTGTATTTAATGTTAATGTGCTCGGAGTGTCGTCATCACAAAGACGGGTGCGACTTGCGTATGAGACCAAACTCCAGGTCCGATAGACGAATAGAAACGTGCACAGATGCAGGAGCACGCAGCCTGTTGAGTTTCTCTCACAGTAAAAGAGGCTGTTTCTGCAGCTTTAGTTTTCCTCAATAAATATTAAGACTAAAAGTCAAATATTTATATGCCCCAGATTATTGCAGAGAGGTATGTTAGGGGTGGGGCTAGATGCTCAGGTAACCTTGAGGTGTAGAAAAAATGTCGGTCAAAAGATTTTCATTTTATTTTATTTTATTTTTTATTTTTTTGCTTTAATCTATGGACATGGTACTAGATATAAAATGAGTGACAAAGCAACCAAGATTTAACCAAAAACTTTGACAGACCTTTAGACAGATTAAAGAACTATTTATTCAAGTTCAAGGTTCTTTGTCATTCGCAGCACATGTGGTACACGAGGTGGAACGAAATTGTGTACACAGGGTCCCAGTTGCATCCAACAATAAAAATAGATCCTTAGTATGGTTTCTTTTACAATGTATAAGCGATAATCTAAGAAGTACACTAAACTAAGATGTACGCTAAACAATAGTGCAAAACAATATGGCGATCAACAGCAGCATGAACATGAGTCTGTGTGAGCAGATGAATATGAATGAAGACAGCAGCATGAAATCAGATCAAGATCACTTTAAAAGATTACAACAAAATTCATCATCTAGTGTTTCAAAACTCTTGTTTGGTCGATCTGATCTCTGCTAACAACTGGTCTTATCAGGGCTTAATTTATAAACCGATCGATGCCGGAATGCAAATAGTGGGCGGGGTCTTGGGGTCCTCCTCCAGAAATTTTTGAATAAAGTAGATGTGATTTCCTGTATTTTAACGGGTTGTTAAACATCTACATTTACTTACATTTGTAAACGCTATGCTTCTGTCGAGCATTCCCCCCCCCCCCACTTGATGGTTGCGAGCCCGACACTGTCCTTGCTCGTTGTTGTCTGACTCCACGTGTGAAACCTCCAGGCGCTTCCTCCGTCTGTTCATCGCAGCTGCACGGTTAGCTCGGCTCACCCCCACCACTCTTTTAGGGGTGGAGATTTTTTTTTTTAAGGGTAGATGGGGAAATGCTACTTGAAGGGGCTGCTCGTATGCTCATAAGGGCTGTTGTGTTTAAAATGAGTGTTTATGTAATTATTTTCAGTTTACATATCCAATATAAGTTTTATTCATTCAAGGCAGTCATATTTGTTCATAACTTTATTATTAGTAAGTTTGAGAGTTACCGGATCCATGCAAACAGTTACTGGTCATCGCTCAAGCACAAAACGTAAAAAGTGTGGAATGACACACTTGTGACGTTCTGTTTGTTTGCAGCAGTCACACATTGTTCTCCTATTTGTAGAAAATATTAAATATTCATAGAAATTTAAATCTATCATAGAAAATGTTGGCTTTCATAATGTAAAAAGTACATTTTATATTATTGACAGTTAAAATTTCCTGTCATTGCTCCTTAGGAAAGGCCTAATAACTTTAAATTGATTGGAAATTGGAAATCATATTTTATGATTCCCACCCCTCTTGCTGTATACTGTGCTGTGTAATATTATTTACTTGAAAAAAGTATCCATCTGAGTAAAGTATTTTATTCCCCCCAGGTGGCGTGTGGCTCAGCTTCTTGATTCACACACTTTGAAGGGATCACATCAGAAACTGTAGGACATCTCCTTCCTGTGGAGCATCTTGATTTGCCTCCTTGTAGCTGTGAGGCCCTACTTGCAAAAAAGTAATTTAAAAACGCTTTTCTTGCAACTGTGAAACCATGCGGCACATTCACGTTGAGTTGGCCAACAAAAAGGCTCCACTGGATTTTCCAGCACAGGAGGGGGACCTGCCACCGTCTGCCTCTCCATCCAATGGAATAAACTCTGCGGTTAGAGCGGGCGCATCTAGGCGCTTTGACCAGGAAGAGTTGCGTCTTCAAAAGGTCTACCAGCTCTCCATTTTCTCTCAGATGGGGGGCTTTTCCACCTCCACAGGATCCTGCACAGATGCCCAACAGAAGACAGGCCGGATAGGCGTGAAAAGGGGACTAGAAGAGCCTCAGTTGACACACAAGCGCTCCCACCTTGAAGACAAATCAGACAGTGAAGTGCTGGAGGGACGGGTGTTATGTGGATCAGTCCCAGCTCAAAGTGTTGGGATAGGGTCAATGACTGGGCCTGGGTGGTCAGATTCTCCATATACGTGCATGCAGGTGGAGCACAGAGACTCTGAGGGTGGTTTGTCACCTAGATCGCCACCCCTTTCCCCAAGCCACAACTCCTTCCGACGCCCAGCTCACAACAATCATGACAGGCCCATCCTTGATGCATTTACTCCACTCTCACCTAAATCATCCCCAAAGTGTGACCCACATGGGTACGTTTGTGACCAGGGCCACTCAAACGGAAGCTCAGTAAGGACAGATGCAACTAATGGGGGCCGTACACCTACACACTCACTAGGTACCCCTGGACAGGACAGTTGTAGTAATGGCTCATCTGGAGGCCAGCTCAGCCCCCACTTGTATGAAATGTCCACATATGAAACTCCAAATCCTGCCAGCCCTACCAGTCCACCTGGCCCGTTTTCACCTCCACACCACACAGAAATGCAGGAACCAGGGGAAGCTACTGAATGGGACATTGGACTTGAATCCTCTCCACCTGAGCGAAGTGCCACGCAAGCTGCCAGTACGTCTAATGGTTTGGCTTCCTGGGAGAAAACCCCTGTCAGTAATGGCCATCGTCTGTACTCTGGAGGCCACTGGCCAGCTAAAAAAAGGTTGCTGTCCCCAAGTGATGCATCAGAATCGTGCTCGGAAGATGAGGGACCTTCAACTTCAAAAAGAAGCAGGTTGTCTTTGCTAACGTCTGGACTAGGCCCAGCGTCTTGTCGTAGCACTGATGCTAAAGCTGCACCGTACTGGAACCACCTGCTGCCGACTGCACGGGACCGGCCCAAGGTCAGCACATATGCACACAAGTTGCACGTAGGGTGTTTTTATTCGGTCTTTTTTTTTTCCATGTTGGTAGGGAAAAAACAAACACAGCTAAAGAGAGTTTAAAGCAATAGTTGAGATTTTTGGAATTGGGATTTTGGGAGAGATTAATATTAATGTCCTATTAATATCTTGCCTGTTAATGACAGCTCTTTGAACAACCTCAGTTTGAAGACGTGGATTGTAATTATCACCAAATTTATGACCAAACAGCCAGTTTGAGCAAGACCAAAGTGGATCACCGCCATTTTAATTGATTGTATTATTGTCAATTTTGCATTACAGTGCATGGTTCTTTACATACCAGTAATTATTTGTACATTTGGCAACATCAGCTAGCCGTGGCAGTTTCTGTAAATATTTCATCTCATAATATTTCTGTCTGAACAATCTAAACCTTTACTCTGAAGTTGTTTTCAAAATTATTCCAACAGCAGATAAAATAATAATTGTTCATAACTTTTCCACAAAACCCCACTTTCAAAAGATCTGAACTATTGCATTTAACAGGAGTTTGAAATAGATTTTATACTAAACATTATTTGTCATCTTGTAGTTAAAAAAAAAAAAAAAAAAAAAAAGAAGCAACTGAGATTCTTTAGGAACTGCTTCCTGTCCTAACTGACCAGTGAGGTTCTAGGTGATGTTCTTCTTCTTTTTTGTAGCATGCTTGTAAAAGAACAGTGTCAACTTTTTACTTTTCAAATTTAACACCTTAAAGCCACAAAACACTTCACTGCTATAAGTAAAGGCTTCAGTATCTTTGAATACTATTATGTAAATCCAAGGTTTTTCCGTCAGTGGTGTTAGCCATGACAAATCTGTAACAAAGCAAAGGGAGGGATAAATAAAAGACACAAACTGTGTGAGTTTGTGTCAGTAAAAGAATGAAGTGATGGTTGGCTCATAATCACAGCACACTGGAACAGGCAGAGCAGCTCCAGAATAAAGCCCATTGAGGGAAAGTCTATTGTTCCCGAACGTGAGTGCACTGTGTCTCTTACACACACGTTCACGCTCGCACATGTACGAAACAAGCATCCTGCCTCATCTGTTTCTGGAAGTGAACTGACCATTGGGAGGTTAGAAAGTGCTTTTGAGTCCATGGGTTTTGTGTGATGGGGACTATTTTAACGGGGTTCGCTTATTGGCTTTCATATTTTGAAGGGATTCTAGTGGTTAGAAAGGTTTAGCATATGCATGAAGGAAGACGAGAAGAAGAGTAGATGTCTATAAAAAAATGGGAGGAAAATGTATATTGGCGGAAGATACAAACAGATGAGTTTATTTTTCAGTGATGGGTAGGTGAGACAGGATAATAATAAATAATGCTGCTTTTGGATTCAGCTATACGTGAAGATGAGACTGCAGGCTGACAAAGATTTCAAAGGGGGTTAACTATTACCAACATGTAATCCATGAGTGAGAGGTCGGCGGTGAACAAATGTCTCAAAGTTAGCACAGTTTAGCTACTGATGAGTTATCTGACCAAGGGGTGGTCTTTCCAATGAACGGAAGCCTGGAAATGGAAAAAACTAGTGCTGCAACATCTAGTACACTGTGCTCAGTAAGTAAAACAACACCTGAAATACACAAGCATCAGTTTGTGTATTTACACTTTGTGTGTTAGTACTGATGTAATTTGTAACAGGTTTATGTTATTTAAAATACATTTAATTCTAATACAGATCAGCTATGCGTAAATCAGGAACCTGATAAAAAACCCTCTTGTCCTTTTCTGGTTGTTTTGTCCAGACTGCCGTAGATTGTACACGATCAGGGAGACGACTGAAGAATGGGCTGCGATTAAAAAGGTGAGTCATCTGTTGTATTGGCAACCACGTATTCACAAAGCTTCCAAGAAAAGATAACGCCTAAACTAGGATTAAAAGCTGAAATTGTGATCTTTAGATGAGGTTTTTGGTTACGTTTGCATAGATTAGTGGATTCACGTGTGTGATTTGTGAACAGTTTAGTTAGTCACTCTGACTGCAGCATATAAACACTTTACTGTGGAGGTGGGGGCTAAAAGTATGTTTGCTGTTATTCTAAATTAAAGGGTTCTGTGTCTGGACTTGAATTCGCTCACAGGCGTGTGACATATTGGTTAAGACAAAATTATTGTCATCTTAACCGCTAACCACCGCTCTGTCTTATGTGCGTTTGTGACCATATCCAGTCGGCAGCTGCGCAGCGGCAGGCAGACTGACACCGGGCGGTCTACACGTTCGACATGGCCTTCCTCTTCCTTCAGCAGATCGTTGCTCTGCAACTTTGAGGTATGCAACTTTTTTTTAATGTTTTGCATCAAATTCAAGATTGTAACAGGTGGACAAACCACCCGAAACCTACATGTTTTTAGTTAAATCTGTTCATGATAATGATTAAAAACATATAAATGACTTCATCAGCACAATATCTTTAAAAAGTAATTTTAGACTATCCATCCGTCTATTATCTTTTACCCACTTCTTCCTTTTTGGGTCGCGGGGGTCACTGTTGCCCATACCCAGCAGTCACTTTGCAAGAGGTGGGGGACACCTTGGACAGGTCACAAGTCCACCACAGGGACACATAGAGACAAACAAGACAAATAACCATTCACTCACTCACTCACTCACTCACTCACTCACTCACTCACTCACTCA